AACTAGAGGCAGCTTTGTAGATGCATAGAACAAAAAATGTGCAGTGCCCACATCTGTTTTAGTTGTGTGAGAGAAGTTTTGTATGTGAAAGGGATGGGATTCCCAACATACTGGCTCGTACACTTGTGTCAAAGGAATTCTTTGGCTTGCGTCACCTTCAGATAAAAGCAGAAAATTTCTTGGCGGTTCATTTTTATTCAGTTTATACAGCTTGGAACCCTAATTATTTATCTGCAAACTTCTGCTTGCACTGAATGTGTGGCAGAATGTAATAATATCTCTGCTAAAGAAAATGGCAGATTATAATGTTATTAGTTTTTAGTTACTAGTGCAGAACCATGTCAAGTGTTACTGTCATCAATCTTTATAAGTTTTTGCTCATATCGTATAACAGACAGTATTTTAAAAAAGGAATATTTCTTTTCACATTTCTCTGCATACATAGAGCTAACATTCCTTGCATCATAACAGAACTCCTTGGGAAAGCTCACAGGTTTGGGGTTTTGTCCCTTGTCCTCTTCTGATAAATACGAGATAAGTAAGCCATTTACCATCAACTCAGTACTGAGTTCAGCATTGATCAATACACTTCCAGATACTTCTGTGAGCTTGCAAGAGGGCTTATCAATCTTTCCTGCTGTGGCATTTATAATCAAACACTACAGGTAGTCGAAAGTTTACATCTATAATTCACTGTGTTCCTTCAGTTGTTGATACGATCTCTGATATGGCTGCAGATTTTTTAAATCTTTCTAATCTTCCTTTAATTAATTTATTTWAAAAAACCACTTGCCCATCTTTCTTTCCATTTTTAAATTTTCAATATTTTTCATGTCCTTAACAGGTTGGACGTCGCAAATAAAATACACTGCTGRCAAGGCTGCTCTCTGATTCAACCACATGACAATCCTTGTGCCATACCTCCACTCTCACAAAAGACAAATATAAATTTATCATATTTCTTTGTATGGTCTTAAGCTTACACTTGCAGCTTCCGTGTCATTGATTTTAATAACATAAGGATATAACAAAATGCCAAGAGTTATGGAAAGGCTGACACAGAAAGCAACTGCAAGAAATTTTCACATCTAGTTTGCACATCTTCAAAAACTTTGTGGTTTCTCTTTTTCACTACTTTGGCATATAGTGATTAAAAGGCTAATGCTTCCAGGAAGRGTGAGTAAATGGAATTTCCAGCTGTGAGGGAAAAGAAAGAAGAACATATTTAGTATTGCTACAGACCATCAAGCAAAAATCACAACGCAATCTGGTAGAGACAGAAGACTTCTGTTTCTTTTTCTGAAAAAAATGTAACAGGCATTTACCCAATGTCCTTTATTGTTTCTTGAGATTTGAACAGCCATCTTGAGATAACCACAAACAAGAACCAAATTGTTTATTACAACTTTGCATAAAAACTTACTTTMTCTTTGCATTATACACTACTGATACAAATAATGGAGCTAGTTTGGCAACAAGGAACTGCAATCCTATCAGCCTTGGAGGAATGTTCTCTCTTTTATTTGAAAGAAATGAAAACTATATACAGATGTTAGCAACAGTACCTTCTTTCAAATCAAGGACAAAAGAGATAAATCATTATCTGAACCCCAACTGCCCTTGCTGCAAGATGRTGAACACCACCTAAACAATGCGACATGATGTTCTGTTAAAATGATTGAGAACTGAGGTCACTGGAGACCACAAAAGATTGCATGCTTGTKATGGTGATGTTATTAAAAAAAACAATAAAAAAATCAAATTTAAAACAACCTGTAATGCAAAATACTGGTTCTATAAAGTATTTATTATGGCTGTCAAAATGCATTGAATAAGAGTTAWTGTTTATAAAATATTTCCATAGTGTCTGTAATGAGGTTCTCAGTATTTAATYTGAAACATCATCAGAGCCTTCTTTGGATATTTAAACTGGCTTCAAATTGCCTATGGAGTTTTGCATATGACTTCACTTGAAAACACATAGTACTACAAAGAAAACAGGCAGTGGTGGCTCTGGAGTTGTATATTCCATTTCTAGCCCAGCTATGCTACTGCTTGTGTGCCTACAAGTAAATTACAAACCTATTTGACCTCAAGTCTTAACCTAATTAATGGGCATGTTGTGAGCATTAGTAAACATGCACTGCCTTTGGCGAGTCTCAGCCTCTTARTCTCAGCCTTGCCAAACACATGTAAAGCATTGCATTTCATATTTTCTTTCATATAATTCTAAAATGTGTGAATTATTTTGCAGACACAATAAGATGCCTTTTTTTTTTCCCCCTGGAAACATCAAATGGATTAGTGGAAGTAGGTATRTATATCTGGGCATAAAAGGTAAAAATATATCCCTTTGCATCCCTACCTCTTTTAATTAAGATACCTGATCACTGGTAGCATTAGTGTCAGTAATTTTCCAATAGACTTATCAATTTTTTGGGGGGAAATAGAGATGTATTAGTTACAATTTCAGCCATTTCCATGTTGATTGTGTTGGAGTGCCACAGTGGAGAAACAGGACTATACTGCTAATGAGGTAGATAGATCCTCACCAATCACCATGATATTCTTCTAAATATCTGAACCATCAATCACCAATGAAAGCAAACTGGTGCCTTGATGGCATGGTCCTCTTACAACTGTTGCAAACAAAATCATTAATAACACACAGACCAATTTCTGCTCCTCTTCTCTGCTCAATCAGCAATGTCATAGCAGAGGAGAATTGGGAAAARGAGAAGCCAATAGCTGACACTTGATTTCTAAAGATATAATTTAATGTCTTCTTTCAAGTTAAATGGAAGAGTAGTGTGGTCTGAAGTGCTCAACAGAAGAGACTGTATCGAACAAGAAGCAACAACAGGCACAGGACAAAAGGGGAAGTCAGGAAAATAAGGATTGATATGAAGAAAATGAGAATAGTTGCAAAAGGTGAAGAGGGACTTTTCCTATGAAGTCTTCCAAAATATGACATGTTTAAATCCATTAACTTTGGGAAACAAATAATGACTTAACATTCTATTTAWATGAAATTAAGGCAATTTTGTAAAAGACAACTTTTGCTGTTATGACCAAGAGACACCAAACCAGAATCTAGAAATGAATGCTTCGCATACATGTGCATTAAGTACTCCTAAATTACARGTGCTAGGAAGTGAAAAAGCACTCTTGCTAAAGACATGGAATTGTCATCCTAGGTTCATTTAAAAAATAAATGAATTAACACTGACCGGGCTTTTTTCCCTTGTGACATTTCAGTTAAAAATTCAGGTTCAGTTGCATCTGATTTCAGTTGCATCTAAACAAATCTGGATATATCAATATTTCATWTTGCAATATAATAACCTTGGAATGGTTCAACTTAAATTTATTGGGCTACATTTGAAGCCTTTATTTTGGTTTAGCATAAATGTTGTCACTCGTTTTATTACACACCTGAGAATGCCCAGCAGACATATGGAGAGTCCTAATTCTCTATTACTGTTTCCTAGAGTCTCCTCCATCTGCAGAAAAATCGTCCCAACATAGGAGGTAGTTCTTGTGCCTGATGACTGATTGGAAGAGAAGTGGAAAATCAGGTTCTGCATCTTCAATTTAAAAAGCGKCAGTTAACCTAAGATTACTTAGATTATTTGTAATTGTTACGGTATTAGAATCCCTATCAATTGACTCTTTTGCTTCTTTCTTGTCAATATACTTCATTACACATTCTTCCTGAGTGTCTTCCAATCAATCTTCAAGTTTAATCATCATAAGCCAGAAATGAGGCTTATTTCGGGTGTTGATTGCAACATCCTTCGTCACAAGTATATGTCTTTCTTGCTGCTAAAGACTAACGGAATTGAAAATATCTGGGAACGACGAGAAACTGGAGCAGACGGCTTGCTGTCCTGAAACCCATTCTGCCAGAAGGGGGAACCTGCTGCACGTCCTTGAGAGAAAGTCAGAAGCACAAACTACATGAAGCCATAGGAGATGAAGTCAAAGATGCCGGTCATGAGGCCCGCATTTTATTTTCTTTTCCTTTGATGCCACTTTACATGAGTTACAGACTTCCAACAGAAAACAGAAACATGTTCACATAGCTATCCGGCACAAATAWTTTTTTTTAAATCAGTATTAAAGGCAAGGGGAAGATTAACGAAGGTTAAGGTCTTTCCAAAACCTTGCAAATCACATGCTACATGTTGGAGAGTGAGCAGGCTTCTCTGCTTTGTGCTATCCACGCTTGGCCCTCCTGTCCGATGTTGTGGATTTATCTGTACTTGAGTAAAGCTCCCGAACTCTATGGCTTAATGATTATTGRTCAAAGATTTCAGAAACTTATTTCGAGATCCCGCATTTTAACGKAATACCGCTGGGAGTAAGAATCTTCAGGCACACGTGGCTTTGAAGAGGCGCGCTTCCCCCCTTTTTACATTACAGGGAACCAATGCGACTAAAACCTGGACACAACTTGCACCGTTTTTGTGTGACACCACCGCAGCACGGAACTACAGAGCGTCCTGCCTGGGTCCCGTGAGCTTACGATTCCCATTTCTATTGCTAATGCACAGCACTAAGCCTCACCAGGTCGCTCTGGAAATCCAGGCTGGCCCTCAGAGTGCAAACATTCCCCAAAGTGGGGCCGAAGCCAGCATTAATCTTGTTTCTGTTGCTGTCACCACACAGAAGTGCTCCTGTACAGACACGACAGACGGAGCTGAGCACCTGCCGTCGGGGCTGCTGTGGACAGCGGGAGAAGGGACGAGCGTTCCGCCCAGCGGGCTCGCCCCGACAGCCGCAGCCCCAAACCCCAAACCCACCGCCACCGCACCGTGCCACCCCATCGCCACCTCCCAGCGCCGTCTGGTGTCGCCGCCAGGCGCCGTCGGGAGCGGCCCAGTCGCCGCCTACATTGCCCGTCAGCCCCGCGGCCCGCGGGAAGTGCGTCCGGCCGCATCCGGGAGCGCGGAGCCGGCGGAGCGTGTTCCGTGCCCGGTGTGGCGCTTGCGGTGGGTCGCGGCCGGGCCCGGAGCGAGCTCGGGAGGCGGCGGCTGCGGTCGCGCTGTGCCACAAGCTGAGGCGCTTCTSTCCCCGCAGGTGCGGCCATGGCGGACTCCACGCAGAACGGGCCGATGCCAGGCGGGGCCGGCGGCGGGGCCGTGGTAAGGAGCTCCCGGGCCTGAGGAGCCCGGGCCGGSCGCGGGGATTGTCCGGCGGCGGGAGGGTCCTGCAGGAATGGCAGCGAGGCACTGCTCGCCCGGTGCGGGCAGGGGGAAGCAGCTCTCGCTTTCCGATTGAAAGCGTGCTGCTGCTGTTGGTGTGCCCCCGCTCCTGAAAATGGCTCACTTGAGAGTAATTCAGTATGGTAGCTCTGTRTTTCACAGAATCATAGAATATGCTGAGTTGAAAGGAACCCTCAAGGATCATCGAGTCCAGCTCGTGACCCTGCTCAGGACGCACCAGTCACACCATGTCCCTGATAGCATTGTCCAAATGCTTGAACTTTGTCAGGCTTGGTGCTGTGACCACTTYCCCGGGGAGCCTCTTCCATTGCCCCAACCACCCAATGGGTGAAAACCTTTTCCTGATATCTAACCTAAACCTGCCTTGACACAGCTTCGGGTTATTTCTATAGTTACGTTGTGCAAGTAAGATAGGAGCTCACGTTATGAAGATGCTTGTGTGTTTCTGGTCATTTCTGTAGAGATGCACTGGGAATATAGAGAAAAAAAGGAATCTRTGAAAGCTGGTCCAAATTTGCGGAAAGAAATTAACACTTTTAGGTGCAAGAAAGCTTTTGTTTTGTTTTGACTGTGAGGCCTATTATTTGACATAATAGCCAAAAGCGTACTGTGTTTCATTAGAACCTTTCTGGCACTGGGGCTGYGTCAGGACTGAGGAGGGCTGTAGTTAGGGAGAACTCAACAACAGGAGAGGTGCAGGGTTACTGTGAAAAGTTCTCTGCTTTTTCAAGGCCAGGAGTACAAAACGATGCCACTTTCCTTGTAGTTTCACTAGCTTTACTTGACCCTATATTTTTTTGTTTGCCAAGAACTGTGGAGATTTAGCCCCAGCTGTGTGAAGTGYATTCTAAAAGAAACCTCAAAGCAGTAGATACAAAAGTCAGTCAGATCTAAAGACCCTACATGATAACTTTGTGAGACTGACTGTTCAGTGAGGTGGGTTTGGATAGAATAACTATTTTTCTAGAAGTTCTTRCCACTGAATTTGATTGTAGTGTACAAAGGAGTCTCTTGGTTCTGAGGAAGCTGAGCTATTTTTAACCTGCCTAGTAACATCATATAAGCCAAGTATTACAGAACGAAAAGAAGCTTTCTGCTTCAAGCAATAATTTGCTTATATTTGAGGTTGGAGAAAGACTTGCAATTTAATATGGAAGAATGTTCATTGCATGCAAATACTAAGATGCCAACTTCTGTTGGGGCTGGTCTTTCTTTTCTTTTTTTCCTTTTCCAATGCAGCAATTTCTCATGGCTAACAAGTTGGATACAGCAATGTGGATTTCCCGCTTGTTCACAGTTTACTGTTCAGCTTTATTTGTCCTGCCTTTGCTAGGGTATGTACTGTAATATTGTAAAATAGCATTAAAAATTTACAATGGAATTAGATTTTGTTTGCATAGAATTTTTTTTCATGTAAGGGTAAACTACTGTTATTCAGCTTATCTGGATGCTTTTTGTTAGAACAGCTTACAGATTTTAGATTGATTTTAAACACTTTTCAGTGTGTTTGGAAAATGTATTGAGCAAATGTGAAGTAATGGTAAATGCATGGTTTTTTTGTGTAAGTGGAGTAATATATTGAGTTGTTTTATGTTAGGCACCTGTAGTAAAGTCAGTGTTTACCAGTTTTTTTATTTGTTTTTTGGTAATAGTGTTTATGTACAATAATAGAAATAAATACTTCAKATATTGTTCACTTGTGATATAATTCTCGAGGGTAGAAGACTTCTGAGCTTGGTTCACATGGTAACATCTCCTCTGATGATTTGCAGGTTGCATGAAGCAGCAAGCTTTTATCAGCGTGCCTTGCTGGCAAATGCTCTTACCAGTGCCCTGCGACTACACCAAAGGCTACCGCACTTCCAGCTTAGCAGGGCATTTCTGGCCCAGGCTTTGCTGGAGGACAGCTGCCACTACCTGTTGTACTCCCTTATCTTTGTGAATTCCTACCCTGTTACAAGTATCCTTTGCTTGTGTCATCCTGCTTATGTTTTTAAATACAGTAAAAACCTGATTCTTTTAATCATCTCTGCCATGATTTGAAAAACTAGTTTGAACTAGTTTGATACATAGAGCATACTCTATGTAAACTATGAGAGGCTTAGGTTGATTGATCCATATTCAGTTTAATCAGCTCTATAATTAGTGCACTGCAATCACTGTCTACTTACATTTTCTCTTTTGGAGACTTAAGTTTGGTGAATTTTATGACCAGCCTCCTGTGATATTTGGAGAAGTTGGTAATTTTCGTTTMTTGTCAGTAGAGAGATAATTATTCAGTAGTAGCTTTCTCAGATAAGTTGCTAAACTGATAAAGTCTGCAAAAAAATTTACTCCGGTGCATTGTCAAAGGTGACATGTAAGGACTGACATTTCTTTATGCCACACTGTATATGCTTAATGTGCTACTCTTAAAATCTCTCTGGCAGAGGAATGTCTACATTCTTGCTCTGTAAAATCTGAATGGCTGGCAACTGCATGTCCTTTGGTAAACAAATTAATTTTGTAGCATCTTTTAACAAAAAAATGACTACATGTATTTAAGAGATTTCGAGTAGTAACCTCATGTATGCTTTCTGTGCAGAAAGAATGCATTTCAGTAGAAACACACCAGTGTGTAATAGTGTATGTTATACTTCTGCATACTTRTAGATACCTGTATTTTGAAGTTAATAAAAATACATAGCAAAGAGGTGTAAGAAGCAAAAGGAATAGCTATAAATAAGTCTTAGACTTATACATATCTTCATCCAGTATAGGTCATTCCAGCCAACCTCTTGCAAAGAGCCATCGGGCTATGACTTGTGTAGTATAACACYATGGAGAAGTGAAGCACTTGTGCAGCCTGTAATTTTCCTTATGGCTTGCTTCAGTGAGTATTTTTCCAGTTCTGTTGTTCTCTTTGCTTCATGCTGCCACATACACAAAGAAGGTTCTTGATGTAAGTATGATATGATATGATATGATATGATATGATATGATATGATATATCTTACAAGTAATACAGTTGGTATTCTTGGGGTTTATAAACATGTTTAAGTTGCAGCTGTGGTTTGGTTTTCTTTGGCTACACTAGAGGAATTCAAGTGCAGTTGTAGTATGGAATCTCAGCACTGAGAATTTGAGAGGGATTTTTTGGGTTGGTTGGGTTCTGTGGCTTTTTTTTTTTACCCCTTTGTAATGACTCAGTGATATGTTTGAGTTGACACTGATTATTTTTCTTCAAATGCTTTTCTTTAAAGGAAGCAAAAGCTGTGGAACAGTTAAGTTGAAACTTAAGATGTGTCTTTTTCAAGCGAAACCATGGCCTGTGAACTTTATTGTTCTGTTTCGGTAGTAAAGTTAGAAACTACAGGGTGGAACTAGCCAGAATACATGCCAGTTGGACTTGCTGCTTAATGCCCTGCCTTGTACATTTTAATGTAACTTCAGTCTTTGGTGCTCCTAACTGAACTGTCTTGTTACCATGGGCATTTCCTTCTAGTGACTGAACAAGGCTCGTGGCCATCTCTCTGCAGTTGAACCTAAAAYGGGTGGATCAGGGAATTGCAACACCTGATGCTTTTAACTGAACTCTCTAAATTACAGAGTTCCAAGCCTGCGGTAGTTTTCCTTAGGATACTAAYCTCAATACTGATAAAGTCTTAAAATGCTGAAATGGGTGGTAAATGACAAWTGTATTTTGTTTGCTGTATGCTTATGAAGATAGGTGTAACTTGTATGTTTTCTGCAAATAATTTTTTCTTTAAAGGCACGAAGTTCAAATAGTTTGCCCTTTTTGAGAAATCTCTTAGAGAAACTGAATGCTAATCAACAGAATATTCTAAAATTCATTGCTTGCAATGAAATTTTCCTGATGCCAGCTACAGTTTTTATGCTGTTCAGGTAAGATTTATGATAAATATTTAAATAATTAGAAACTTGCTACGCAAGACTATTTTTTGCAAATGAGTTCACTGTGGATCATAGTACTCAATTTGTTTGGTTCTGGCTGACCAAGGCTTGATCTTAAAGTAAAATTTAATTGATTCCTAGGCTTCTTAAGTTGGTGCATCCTGTCATCAAAAAGCATTCACTWTGATGTAACTGAGCACCAAAAAAACCTCCCCTTCCATAGCATGGGTGATGAGTCACATGGAAGCTTTTCAGGCTTGAAACTTGAATCGCCTACATTTCTATCAGTACATTATTCAGTAAGTTTAATTTTGGTTAGTTTAATAGAATATCAAGATCTTCAGCTTCACTGAAAGGGAASTCTTATTTTTGACAATTAGATTCCCGAAATTTAAAGTTTTATTATGCAAAAACTGTACAAGAAGGAGTAGGTTGCRTTCTCTCCTGTGTTACTTCTGAGCAGTGACCTTTGTGGGGTTTTTTGATTCCATTTGGTTTTGCCTGCTGTGCAGCCTGTTAAATTAATTTTAGGGGTTTTGAACATGTTGGAATCCTACTAAAGTTGTATAGGCATAATGACTGCTATAGTCATAATGGTCATTGCCAGTGATTGATGTCAGTGTGTCATTGCCTTTTAATATTTGGAGGGGGGGTACAGCCTTTGTTCTGTACAAGTTATAGCATAGTGAGTGGTCTCATTAGCAGTAGAAGGAAGGCTTTATCTTCTTGAAAGTGGATAGGATTCATAATTTGTCTTTATCTTATGTTATATCAGCTGATATATTTCASTGCTTCAGCCCTCAAGGATTCCATTTCATTTGAGACCACTTACCAGGTGACAGATACACTGTATCCAGTATCTGAACCTTTCAAGTGCTTTGAACTTAAGTATAGCTTTTTTTTCTGTTGCTTCTCTCTGGAGAATGTAATATGTGAAATGTTGCTATTTGATATGTCATCTGGTAGATACTGAAGCTTATAAAAGATCATATGCCAAATTTTAAAATAATTTAATGGTTAAATGCATTTAAAGAGTATTGCAAGGTTTTGTTCTTTAGGTGTTGCAGCATATTAAATTGTTTGTAAATAGTGTACAGGTTTCAAGATTTCTTCTGGCTCACTTTCACTTTATATTTTTTTCTTCTGGGCAAAGATGCTGCTAATATTTGAAGGAGTTCTCATTGGAACCATCATGTTTAAATTCAAACAGAATTTTTAAATAATTTGTTATTTAAAGTGGCTTCAGTCACTAAAACTTAGGGCATTTCTGTGCTTTGCTGTGCCCAATTTTTGTGCTATGTTTTCACTATTTCACAGCACAGCCATGTGAAACAGTGGTTTTGTGAAATACCAAAACCTAATTTCACTGTAACTGAAATAACTGGGTATTAGATTGGGATTAAAGTCTCATTATACTCTGTAATTGTCTGCAGTGTGTTCGGAGAAGTTTTGCACAAGGTACTAGAAATATGGTCCAGATACTCTAAGTGCTGCAATTAGATTGAAAAGGGTCGCTGTAACTGGACTACTTACATCAGCCAGTTTCTGTGCTTGACCAACACACATTTTCTTGCTAGAGAAAACGTGTCCACCATCATTCCTGTGATTCTTTGCACACCATTAGAAGTGAGGCATATAAAACACTTCATAAATATAAAATCAATTCAAGAACAGCATTTCTGTAACTGAACACTTKTATTCTATAATGTTTCTGCATTTATATGCGTATAGTTATGTACTTGTCAGATCTAGATTATCTGAACCAGTGTGACCCAAATCTGACTTTTTTTGAGCCCAGATAGTTTGCTTGCTTTTCTTCGAAAAAWTYCYKRWTTTKGKKGKKTTKTTTYGGGTTTTTTTGTCAGTARTAAKCGTTACTGAACTCTTCTCTTGCAGTGGACAAGGGAGTCTTCTCCAGCCATTCATTTACTATCGGTTTCTTACATTACGCTACTCTTCTCGGCGAAACCCATACTGTCGGTAAGTACTAAATTGATTTGGGAAGTTAGTGTTTAATGGCTGAATTAGGCATTCAGAAACTTTTCATTCTAAAATGAATGCAGAACTCATAGTACTACATTTACAAATGGCAATTATAGAAYGTGAAGTACACCTCGATACCAAATGAAACCCTGGCTGGTTAAAGGTTAGATTTATTTTGTGTAACTGATCATAAATGTACCAYGATTCTTAAATGGGAGAACATGCTTGTATAATTAAAACTACACTTCAGGAGATGAAAGCATTTTGTATCAGAAAGATATCGTTATTTCTATTTTTTTATATATTATTTTATTTATTATCTATTTATTATCTATTATTTTTAGATTCTAGGTACCTTTGAGGCTAAGTCCATATATGAATAGGTACTTAAAAACTCGTGTAATATTGACAGAAAAAAAATCCTGTGGATGATCTTAAATGTATTCATTACCTTCTTTAGTTAAATTCATAAATAAGGCTAATTATATTTGAAATAGAACTGTATTAATTTTGAAAGTTGGTCAGGCCARTATTATTGCTTTAGGCCTTGAAATCGTAAGTATTTCTATGAGCATGAGCACTTCCTCAGATAAGTGTTTTCTCAAAGTTTTCTTGTGACCATTCTGTTGCCAAGGTTTCAAGAAAGTGGCTTTGGTGCCATGATATGCAAAGACAGGTCTGAGAATCATAAACTTAATTTCCTCCGTTCCCTATTTTATAAGAAATCAATTGTTCCATCCTACTACATATAATTATTTTTAACAATACCAACAACATTTATGAAGTTGCTCTACTACTTTGGTTCTGAAAGTAATTTAAGCTATGCAATACTAAAACTGATTTTCAATAGAACTAGTTTATCCAAAATGTTCTGCTGGTACTTTTGTAGTTTTAAGGAAAAGTGGTGATGTGGGCTTTATTTCTCATGTCTGTCTTCAAACAGTCGCTTCTGCAGTGCAGGGTTCTTGCATATTGGCAAGAAGTAGCATAA